TCCCCCATACAGGGGGATTTTCGACGAAAAAAATGAAAAATAGTCAAAAAATACAACAAAAAGCTCAAACAATACTCAAAGAATAGTCTCCAGACTATTTTTGGACTATTTCTTGATTACTTTTTGGGGTAGTTATTATTTTTCGTCGAAAATCCCCCTGTAGGGGGACAGGCCCGACTTAAGCTCAGGGGCCCACGTGACACCAGCCGGGTGTCACGGTGCACCCGATGCGCACCACACGTGCACGGTTCCGAGTGCCGCCCCTCCGGAGCGCCCCGCGGCCGGGTTCTGCACGTGTCTCCGCCCGTGCGCCAGCCTCTGTCAACAGGACGTGCCCACAGCATCGGGCGCGTGCCCTTTTTCACGGGAGCTGATCCCTTGGAGACGCGACGGGCCACGAAGTGGGCCACGAAATGCTGTGGGCACCCCAGGAGATTTTGCGTGCTTTGGCATCGGCGCCTCCGCGGGAGAAACGCCCCTGGCACCCCTCGACGCCAGCCCATTCGCAGGCGATCTGGCTCGCTGGCGGCAGCAGACATGCACGGGCGGCCAGGATAACGACGGACGGGCACGAAGTTGCACGTGCAGAAGTACAGTCGGGCTGCTGAAAGATGGAACGCTAAATAAGGAACGAACCCCCTTATTGGCCCTGTAAGCGCCTCCGTGCCCCAGGAGGGCAAGAGGAACAGCACTGGAGGAACCTGAGGAGAATCGAGCCCCTTCCGAACCCAAATTGTTCTTTGTTTCAGCGTCTTGACTGCATCTGCGGGACGCTGCCCGCTTGAGCCTGCGCGCACGGCATGGCCCCAGAGCTTAGCTGCCCCCATACGCAACACGCAACACGTAGCGTATTGATACGGAGCTCAACACGCAGGCTGAAAACGTAGGTCCGACGCGATACATTCGCCCAAACGTGGCCCAATACGTGGAGCCAACACGCAACGTATTGACACGGACGTCTTGAACACGGGACGTACTGCGTATCAGAACGGGCGTATCGAGGCAGCTGAGCCCCAGAGCTGCCACCCAGAATGACCGCACGAAAGGGCACCCAGACTGATGCCCTGGACTCGTCTGCGAGCGCCCGACGCCGCCCGCAGGCGACCCCTGGAACCAGAAACCGCCTGGGACGCCCGTGCCACGAGACCGTGCCAGCAGTTTCGTGCGCCATCTCGTGCCGGAGCTCGTGCAGCAGCTCGTGCTCCAGGTCTCGCTCGTGCGCGAGTCGGGTCGTGCTCGTGGTGCGGAAGCAAGGTCGTGCTCGCGCGGCCGCGCCCTCGTGCTCGTGCGAGGCTGGCCATCGCTCGGACGTCCATTCCCTGTGTTTTTGTTCGGCTTCGTGCGTGGATGTTTCGCCAAATGATCAAGGATGCTTCTCGATGGTCCTCGCCGATGGAAAAATGCACACGTCCGAGCGATGCCAAGTGTTCGCCCGGCCGCGCTCTCGTGCTCGTGCAGGAAGGAGAGAGGACTGCCCTTTACCAGCGGATCAATGGAAAGCACCGCACGGCAAGCGGCACCCCTGGCTTTCGCCAGCGCCACCCGCGCAGTCGAAGCTCCCCCCCCTGCCCCCCTCTTCGTTTGCAAAATAATTTCGTGCACGCCCCCGTAACCTTACCAAGGGTTAGGAACCTATGACGAGTTTGGCCGAACTGGCCCTCAGATGATGCATGGTCTCTCTTCTGCAGATTCGCACAATATAGATGGACCGCGGGTGTCCGCCGCCGTCTGATTTGCGTGCCGTCAAGGGCTCGACAATAACATACCCCTCGGGTAAGAACGCTAGGCTGCAAGATGCCGTCTGTCTATGATGTGGGGCAAAAGCCGATGCAAACGTCACGCAGAGATTGTCCGTGCTGTTCGCTTCTTTGCTCCCTGCTCGTCCAGCCATGCAGTGTGATTTTCATCCGGCAGCTGTTCAGTGTTGGCTTTCGATTCTATGGGCATGCGCCATTTTGGCCTGCATCCGAGAACCACGTTGATATAATCATGCCCTCTCCCCATAACGGCAGGATGACCGCTTTGTGCCCGCCGCCGTCTCGTCCCGTGCCGGGTCGGGGTCGAAGCCCTTGTGGCAGCACGGACTGCGCAACTGCTCTCGAGCTGCACTGCGCATCTGACGTCTCTTTCACTTGCCACTCTGTGCTGTCAGCCGTGGCGCCCAGACATCAGCTGCAGCAGCACACATCTAGTGCGAACCGCGTGCCAGCCTCTGCCGACAGGCGCCCAGTTTCCTCGGCGCCGCCGCCCCGTTCGACGGGCCTCGCCTCCGCGGGTGCCAGAGGGTCCGAGCCCGACCGCCCTCGGCGGACCCGGCGCGGGGGGTGCCCGCGGAGGACCCGCGCAAAACACTGCCCCGCGCGCGTAGGTGTTTTGGCTATTGGTGCGCGTGCCGAGGCCGTGCTCGAGGAACCCGTGCTCGAGGCTCGAGGCGGATAGGCGCCCGTTGGCTGGTGGCATCAGGGGTGCTGGCGTATATACGGGGGAGGAGGAGGAGGCGGGGGAGGAGGGAGGAGGAGGAGGAGGAGGGAGGAGGAGGAGGAGGGAGGAGGAGGAGGGAGGAGGAGGAATAATCTTACGACGAGAGGGCGAGGAGGAAGACCAGGAGGACGCATTTACGACGGAGGAGGAGCAGGAGCACACGTAGCGCGGAGGCCGCGGTTAGTTGCGCACCGATCGAGGCCTTGACAGCCCGCAGAAGACTCAGGTGAAACTCCAGATCGTTACGTCGAGTAGGCATCGCCTCGAGCTCAGGCTTCAGCTTATGTTAGAAGATGAATGCGATGACAGTCACGCGATGGCAAAACTGGCGCGAGAACCCGCCCAGATAAACGGCTGGATCACCGAGGCGAAAGGGGGCGAGAGGGCAGGGAGGCAGGCGCATCCGAGGGCGAGCGGGGAGGTGAATGAGACGAGGACAACATAGATTATGGGGGTGCGAGTCCGCTCCCTCCTCGCATCTCAAGAGACGTCCGCGAGGCTCAAGCACAGGCATGCGAGCAGTCGTAATCCATGCCCCAGCAATGGTTTTGACATGCGCCCAGACCCACGAAGGCCGCGAAGAGTCGACCAGCGATCAGCTAGCTCTGGGCCCGAGGGGAGGAGGAGAGAGGGCATCGGTCTGGAGGAGTACGCCTCGACCAACGCCGAGTCGCTCAGCGCTGGGACTGGAGGCCCTGCTGCACGCCAGTCCACCACGGGCAGGAAGCCCAGCGCCGTCGACGACTCCACGTAGGGCGGCAAGGTCTGGACCCGGCGGAGGGCAAGCAGGTGAAGGAGGTCAAGGAAGAGAGAGGAGGTGGCTCGAGAGGCCGGGCGCTCTCTGGGGCCGAGGGCGGCGGGCCTGGCCCACCGCCTCCGCGAACTCGCGCTGGGCAGCCAGCGCCCGCCGCGCGGAGAGCGCGGGCGCGGGCAGCCCCCCTCCCCGCACGGAGCTCGAGACATCCTGCAAGAACTGGGCGATCGAGCGAGTTTTTCCTCTTCTTCTCGACTCAGCATGCATTGAAGACTGCAAGCTCGTCCTTTCGCCATCACTAGAGAGGCGAGCGGCACCCACAAAGGATGGGGCGTGGGACCAGCATGGCGGAGACCAGAGTCCCTGGAGATGCCGCGCCAGGGGTCCGTGCCAGAGGGCCCACTCCCCCCAAGCGACGCTCGAGCTGCTGGAAGCCTGGAAGCGTCCACGCCACAGAGCGCCAGGCCGCCGCCCGACGCACCACCGCCATCGCCGCGGGCGCCGATCCAGGGACCCAGGCAAGGAGGCCCCGGAGCTCGGGGCGTTCGAGAGAATTGGGGGGGGAGGCGAAGTCGTTTGTGAAGCGGCCACGCTTCCATGTGGAGGATGGTAGGGAAACAGGTATAAACATAACAACTCGGAGTTCCGCGCGGATTTCTCGGATCGGCGCTGGGGCCCCCCGGCGGCCCCTCCGGCGCCGCCCCTGGCGCGCTCCGCGCGCCAGGGAGGGGGGTCCAGCGCCGATCCGAGAAATCCGCGCGGACCTCCGAGTTTTTATGTTTATGCCACTTTTTGTTCCCCTAGATGGGGGGGCAGGGGAAAGGCAGGACTGCGCGACGTAGGAGGGGACGGGCGGGGCCGAGGAAAACCATAGAGTTTCCCGTGGCTGCCTCCGCGGGGGCCCTCGAGGCCGCCTGAAGCCTCTGACACGGGGAGCGAGCTTCCCAGCGGGGGACTTCCCGCTGGGCCTCCAGAGAGGCCTCGGGACCGAGAAGCAGCCCCTACAGGGCAGTAACTCATCGTTGTTTTTAATACTAGATCCCTGCATGTTTAATACATGGTCCGCACGCGGAGCATGTATAAAAAAACGGCACTGTAAGTGCTTCGTGCGCCCGCGAGTCGGGGACTCTCAGAACGAGGGCACCACCGAGCCCAGGCAGGCGCTACTGCGCAAGGAAGCCTTCGGCCCAGGAAGAGTCCGCAGCGGGGCAGTGGCGCATGCGCGAGCTTGCAGGGCCAGGCAGGCTAAAGGGCTGGCGGCGCCAAACACAGGGGCGACGGCGCCAACCTGTATCAGATCGGGAAGGACAACACCAACATCATCAGCACAAGCGCCCGCGGCCAGGTCATGCAACTCAGGAGGACGCTGAAGCTCAGGAGCGGGAGGTGGCAGCAGTGGTTTCTGCACATCAGGGCAGCAGTAATGCAAGAACGCGTCGACGCACAAGGCCCACCGCGTCCCCGAACGCGGGCAGCCCTGCGCAACTCCAGCTGACACGTGGAATAGAAACTGGCAGTCGGGTCCGACACGCGCCCAACTGCGCATGTCGCGATAAAGACTCCGTACCGCATAAACGTATCCCCTCAGGAGGCCATCGTACTCAAAGGCCTCCCCTCGGGAGGCCATCGTACTCAAAGGACCGTATCAGAGGGAGAAACCGCCTTCACGTCAAATGCAGATAAGCACGGGAGTCGCGAGCCCGCAGGTTCATGAGAGCCAGCCATGCGAACCACCGAGTCAAGCTCCACTATGTGACGTGATCTGTCAGCCCTTCAGAAAGCCACGCTGGATCGGATGGCACCTCACCTCCGCAACCGACCGCAAGGACCGGTCGATCATGCTGGCACTGGCCTTGGAAGATGTGTTCTGCAAGGCCAGAGGACGGAGCGCATCGGGAGCACGAGCCAAGTCCACCAACTCCTCAGGCTGCTCGTCCATCGGAAGAAAGCACGACACGTGTTGGTTGAATTCAACTGGTGCGCCAAGGTCACTGACCATATCTAGCAAAACCGAGTACAGTGTCTCAAGTGCGTCCTCATGTGCAAGCCACGCGCGATAAGGTAGTCGGTCAAGGCCAGGGGCATTGTTGCGGCCATAGCGAAAACAGCGAATCATCATCTCGCGGAGGAGGAGCAGGAGGAGGAGGAGGAGGAGGAAGAGGAGGAAGAGAAGGAGGAGTAGAAGGACGAGGCTGAGGAGGACGATGGCCTGAGTACCCCCCCCATGCAGAAACACTGCTGCAGTACCACCCTCCCGTCCCAGGCCCCCTCTGCACGAGCCCCCACAGCGCAATCGTTCTCACTGGGCGAAGCGCCCCCCCCCCCCCCCCCTTGAGAGACGAGCGCCCCCTGGGACCACAGTGTCGGCGGGAGCTCCGTTTTTAGAAAGGACCGCTCGCATCCCAGGAGCTACAGTCGGGGCACTGAAGAAGGAATCCTTTTCGTTGGGGAGGGGCTAGGTGTTCCTTGACTGTTTAGCAGTTTCCTGAGGCTCTCCACGGGAAGTCGAAGTTTTACTCATGGGGAAAAGTGGCCTCGATCCTTATTTAGGGTTCCTTGGGTCAGCGCCCCGACTGTATACGGGATGTGAGAAAATGGGGCCATGCACGTCCAAGGACATCCCAAACGAAAACCCAACCCAAAAGCGGGGCCGCCCCTGCGTTCGTGTGGCTGATGCGCTGTTACAAATCAGACGAAATCTAAGACGATACAACGACTTTGACAGGGTGCCGCCATTTATCCGTGTAACTGTTGCACACGTTGATCCACCTTGTTGAACAAGTCTCAAGCAGGCCCCAATTTGAACATGAATCGCCCCCAATTCGTGTAGCTGTTCGGAACCTTGAAGACGGCTGCGCGCGGCGCCAAGGCGAATGCTCCATGTTGAAACCCGTTCGCCCTCCAGATGTAGCCTTTGGATGCTTTGAGATGATGAAGGGGCCCCAGGACACACAAATGAATACACACCAATAAAAAGATTCCCCATAGTTTCCTATATTTTTCTGGGTTTTTGTCTTCCCCCCCACTTCCCATATTTCCAATATTTTTCCTGAGGATCGACGATTAATTGTGTATGTGTGTTTTTTCCCCTCCTGGAATGAATGTGCTTGGAGCCAGGGCGAGGGCCCCATCCCGCCAGCCCTCTGGGCGTGAGTCGTATAACAGGCTCGGAACCTTTTTGACCCTGGGTGGCTCCAAGGGCTCCAGGCGCAAAGGGGTCCTGGTGGTTTTTGTGCGTGTTATTTTTAGGGAGAAACCCGATGCGATTCTCTCCCTGCGACTCCCTTTCTCTCTCTCTCTCTCTCGAAGAGGGCTCGGCAGTCAACGTACTTTTCCCGAAGCCCAAGATGGCCTCTAGAATTGCCCTGGCTATCCCAAGATGGCTCAAGGTATCCTCCAACATGCCTCCAAGAGCCCTCGAGGTCGCCACAGGATGGCCCCAAGTCCCTCCGAGCCTCCCAAATTCTAGGATGCCAGCATCCTTCAACACTGCTGCTGTTCGATGCCTTTTTCCCTCTGGCCCTCTCGCTCCTGAGGCGCTCGTGAGGCCCCACGATGGCCCAAGACGACCCCAAGAGGGGCCCAAGACGGCCCCAAGAGAGACCCATACCGCCCCAAGAGCGGCCCAGGAGGGCCCCAAGAGGCGATTTCCAGGCCCCGACTGGGGGACCCTCTTCGGTACCCCTCCCCTCTTCTTTGATCGACAGCCTCCAAGATGGCTCCAAGACTGTCTCCAAGGAGTCTCAGGAGAGCCCCAAGAGGGCCCCACCAAGACAGCCTCAAGAAGCCCTAAACGCTTCCAACATGTCTCCAGGAGGGCTCCAACATGGCTCCTAGAGGCATTCACGCCAAAGCGAGAACCCCATTTTGAAAATGATGCCCCCTCCAATCGGGTAACTGTTGCGAAATTCAAGCGTCGACGTTATAAACGGTGAGGATGTCTCAGGCGAAACGCCCAGCCCGCCCTAACGACACGTCGTTGTGGGTAGCACGACAGGGAGGTGTTACTTACCAGGAAATTGGATGGATGCAGGATGCGCCGTCGAAAGAGGAAGAGGTGAACGAGAAGGAGGACGATAAGGAGGATGAGGAGTAGGATGAGGAGGGGTAGCAAGAGGAAGAGAACAAATGAGGATGATGATAAGGAAGAGGAGACGTAGAAAGACGAGACTCATATGAGGAGGACAGTGAGGCGGAGGAAGCTCGCCGAAGACCGGCTCCAACGCTTTCTCGACCGCCCGGAGCTTCTCCGAGACGTCGTTGGTGTGCCGCTGGCACTCCATGAAGGCGTCGATCTCGGTCGACTTGTCCTTCGGGGCCCCGCAAAGACGTGCACTAAGAGATCGTGCTCTGAGAGAATCTTGGGGCACACTCTTCGTCGATCCGTACGGGTCTCAAATCGGCCATCGCTCGGACGTCCATTCCCTGTGTTTTTTTCGGTTTCGTGCGCGGTTTTTTCGCCAAATGATCAAGGATGCTCCTCGATGGTCCTCGCCGAAGGAAAAATGCACACGTCCGAGTGATGCCAAGCAAAGTGCTCGAGAAGTTCTGTGGGTCCCTTGGGCCGTCGAGGGGTGCAGATTTCCGTGGCAGACCTGCTGGCAGGCAGACTTCCTGCTTGGTGTAGCTACTGCACAGCAGGTTCACGTCGTGATGACGTCGGCATCCTTTTTGTTTTTCCCTCCAAACACGACGCCACCCAGCCCCTTCCACCACTACAGTCAATCAGCGCCCAACTGCTGGAAGCCGTTGCCCCTGGCTCCACCAGAGAAGTACAGGCAACTATCAAGTGCCCAAGCATGTCCGCCGGGAGGCAAGGAAGTGCACAATGGCCAGGCCGTCATAGGCGAGCCAACGTCGGCGTTGGCTTCTGGCGCGGCGCGGAACGATCGCGGCTCTCCGACAGCGCCCCACCGCTCGGTGTCGGCCAACTTCGGGCCACCGGCGGCTTTCGACCTTGAACGCCCACGCCAAGGTCGCCACGTCACCATGACACGGACCTTCCGTATAGCCTGCGCAAGCACGCGGCACGAAAACCGCACGATCAATCTCTGTCGTCTTCGCCTTCGGAGCCACGCAGAGATGTACAGTCTGCGCAGACAAGCGGCACGGAGCTCGCACGATCAGCACATGTTGTCTTCTCTTCGGAGCCCCGCAGAAACGCAGAGTCTGCGCAGGCAAGTGGCGCAGAACTCGCACGATCGATCTCTGTCGTCTTCTTCGAAGCCTCAGAGAGACGCACAATCTGTGTAGGCGAGCGGCACAAACATCGCGCGACCGATCGTGTGCCTCTGGTTTTCCATGACGCCTTCGCTCTCTGTCGTCTTCTCCTTCGACGCCCCGCTGAGGCGTACAGCCTGGGCACACGTGCGGCATGAGGATCGCACGACCGATCTCTGTCGCCTCCCTCGAAGCCCCGCAGCATCGTGACTTCTACGCAGGCACGCGGCACGAAACTCGCAAGATGAGAGAAAGATGCGGAGGAGGAGGGATGAGGGATCAGGGATGAGGGATGAGGGATGGAGGAGGGAGGAGGGAGGAGGGAGGAGGGAGGAGGGAGGAGGGAGGAGGGGGAGGAGGAGGAGGAGGAGGAGGAGGAGGAGGAGGAGGAGGAAGAGGAGGGGTGCGGGCAACCTCCTGGCGCAAACCCGGGAGCGCAGGGGGTTTTCAAGGGAGGAGGGGGCTCCTCCACTCGGGGAATGCCCCCAGAAGGAGGGGAGGACGGGAAGGCCCAGGAGCTGGCAGGACCCAGGGGGAGGCCCAGGAGGGATCAAGGAGGAGGAGGAGGAGGAGGGGGAGGAGAAGAACGCGGATGAGGTTCGAGCCTCTGGTGAGGAAATGTCTCCATCAAGAACTGACGGCGCCGCCGGGGCCGCCCGCGACGAATGCGGAACTAGTTTCGACCAGAGCTGACACTAGATCATCGACCTCGGCGCCTTTGTGGTTGCAGACTGGTGGTTCTTGATATTGTGCGTCCAAGAGGAAAACAACATTCATTGTAACTGCTGCAAATCCCGAGGTCAAATCGAAAAACAACCATCCGCCTGCACAAAATATGCTGGCAAGGCGCGCCCCCTCCGGGACACTCAAATGGCCCGACCGAGCTGAAGTCAAGTTGGCGGCCAATTCGTATTTCCTAGTTGGCAGGAACATAATATGAAGGCCCAACGAAAATGCCAATCTCGAGCAGCGAAATTTCAGCCGTGTGATCGTTGCCAAACAATAGGTTGAGATGTTTTCGAACAAGCCCAGCATTGCGCCCGTGTTACTCTTAGCTCCAGGTGCTGCTTTCTCAAGGAAAATCCACGTGACTCTCAAGTTCAGTTGCTTCGTGCTAGACGCCCGCAAAAACCCGTCCACTTTGGTTACCCCTGGGACACGCGTAGAGCGTTTCACCTTTGTTACAATCGACTGCTTTATAGTAGGGACTCTAATGGCTCTATGGACCCACTGTCTCTACATAAACTGGCTCCGAATCGACATCTGTATGACCGCAAATACGAGTGTAGACCACATGTTCGAGTTTTGTCGTTACGTTAAACGAAGAAGATGCCATCCTTCACGGTTTCCTCCACCAACAGTGCCGGCACATGTTCCTGCAGCGGTGCATTGCTGCTCTAGGGCACGAAGCCAAACCGGAAAATCAACCGGCACGCAGCAAAGCAGTCTGCAGTACGGAACCACTGCTTCTACTAACACTGCTGCTCGCGCGCCTGTCTCGGCGCCTTCGCGATTGTAAACCTGTACTAGTGGCGATTCTAAATCAATTACGTATGTTCCAGCTCTGCGGCTGCTCTGTCTAAGTCTCGGCATCGAGCCGAAGAAACAACCGATACGCAGCAGAGCAGCTGGTAGTCTAGAGCTAGTTCTCTACTGAAGCTGACCTTAGTGCACCGATCTCGGCGCCTTGTGACTAAAACCCTGTGCTCCTTGCTGTTCTAGACAAACTACGTGTGCGCAAGAAGTCCGTCGCTGTTCTATCTCGAGATCGAACCAACAAAAACAACAGACACGAAACACAACCGCTTTCAGTACGGAGATACCTTTCGACTAGAGCTGATTCTATTGCACCAATCTTGGCGCCCGTGTGGTTGTCGAATTCCACGTCCTGCCATACCGTATCCAAAGTAAGTATAAGCTCAACAGCACAATTCAAACAACTATCCAACACACACGCACACACACACACCAGGGCAGGTTGCAGTACCGAGCTAGTTTTTCGACTAGAACTGACACTTGATCACCGATCTCGATGCCCTTGTGGTTGCAGACTGGTGTTTCTTGCTATGCTGCGTCCAAAGAAAAACCCAGAGCACCGTAGCTGCCCTAAATCCCGGAATCGAGCGAAACAAACTCCCGCTTGCACAAACTACGCTCCCCAAAGGCGCTTCTGCCAGGACAGCTTCCACCCTTCAAGCCGAGCGGGCAGCTCCCGGAGGCCGACATCCAGGCCAACCGCCCGGACTGGAAAAAGCAGATCCTCGGAGATCTGGGGAGGGAGGGTAGGAGGGAGGGCGGGAGGGAGGGAGGGAGGGAGGGCGGGCGGGAGGAGAGAGGAGGGAGGGAGGGAGGGGCGTGAGGGGGGCGGCCGTCCCAGCAGGCAGAATGGCTTGTCGAAGGCCCTCCTGCCCTCTAAGAGGCCTTCTTGCGGTCGGGAGCTTTGGTCTGGAGTGCCGCGCTGGCGGTTCTGGAGGAGGAGGCGGAGGAGGAGGCGGAGGAGGAGGAGGAGGTGGAGGGAGGGAGGGAGGGAGGGAGGGGAGGCAGGAAGGGAGGGATGGAGGGAAGACTGAGGAGGGGGTGTCCTTGTCAAGCTCCTCCAGCTCAGCCGCGAGGCGCTCCCGCTCCTCGCGCTCGGCCGCCAGGCGCGACGCGAGGGGGCCCACGCCGTTGGCGCCCTCCTCCTCCTGATCCTCGGTGATTCGGTCCATGCCCTCCAGCACCTGGGGAGAAGCCCTCCCCTAAGATTGTGGATGCCACGACAATGGACACGCTAATAATCCGACCATTGAACGAACCATGTATTGAAAACGTGTAAGACATGTTCTAAGCATGTTTCAAACATGTTTGTACATATTCAAAACATGTTTGAAGTATTTTTTAGATATCTGGCAATTATTAGGCAGTCTACTTCCTTTCCATTAAGCGGCTTCCACAACCCTAAGACGAGGCCAACATGAGGATCAATTTGGACGAGTATCGATCGGAAATCTCCGAGAGCCGGCGGTTCCGGAGGATGCCTCGGGCGCCGCGGCCTTCTCAGAGTGCTCCGGAACGCTCCGGGAGCGTTCGGGAACGCTCCAGAACGGATCTATTCTTGTCCCAGCCCTGGCCACCGCTCGGACGTCCATTCCCTGTGCTTTTGTCGGTTTCGTGCGTGTTTTTTTCGCCAAATGATCAAGGGTGCTCCTCGATGGTCCTCGCCGAAGGAAAAATACACCCGTCCGAGCGATGCCAAGAGCCCCGCCCGATCTCCTCCGTCCTTCCAGAGCACTGGCGATGCGTCTCTTCGATCCTGGCGCCTTTCCCCTCTCTGTCGGCCTCCGGGGGCCGCTTTCCGGGGCTCCGGGGCCCTAAGAATTGACCCGGGGACGGAAAACGGGGAAGGGGTCAGGACCTGTGGAGCGGCGCACGGAAGAATTCGCCGTCCCCTCTCGGGTATCCTATCCAGGCGTGTGAAATCATTCTCCCCAATATTATCCCTTCCCACCGGGCCCCTGTCGGCCCAAGAGCGCCCGAAGACGGCCCAAGTCGCCCCAACAGGAGGCCTGCGGAGGCGATAACGCAACGTACCCAACGAATCAAATCAACGGACAGCTCGCCCCTTGGCCCCCCGCCAGCCCCACGCCAAGGGGCGAGCATATATACGGGCGCAGCGCCCCACTCGATGCGTAGCCGTCGGCTGGGCCAACCAAGCGAATGACGCATCGCGTGGCGGCTGGATGCCCGCGCCGAGCACAGTCCTTTTCGATTCCTCCCTCCTCCACCTCCTCCTTCTCCTCCTCCCCGCGGGCTTAAAACTGCCACCGAAATATCCTCACCCGCTGGCTTAAAACTGCCACCGAAATATCCTCACCCGCGGAAATAAAACTGCCACCGAAATATCCTCATCCGCTGGCTTAAAAATGCCACCGAAATATCCCCACCCGCGGAAATAAAACTGCCACCGAAATATCCCCACCCGCGGAAATAAACTGCCACCGAAATATCCTCACGCGCTGGTATAAAACTGCCACCGAAATATCCTCACCCGCTGGCTTAAAACTGCCACCGAAATATCCTCACCCGCGGAAATATAACTGCCACCGAAATATCCTCACCCGCGGGCTTAAAACTGCCACCGAAATATCATCACCCGCTGGCCTAAAACTGCCACCGAAATATCCTCACCCGCTGGCTTGAAACAGCCAACGAACTATCCTCACCCGCTGGCTTAAAACTGCCACCGAAATATCCTCACCCGCGGAAATAAAACTGCCACCGAAATATCCTCACTCACCCGCTGGCTTAAAACTGCCACCGAAATATCATCACCCAGTGGCTTGGAACTGCCACCGAAATATCCTCACCCGCTGGCTTAAAACTGCCACCGAAATATCCTCACCCGCGGAAATAAAACTGCCGCCGAAATATCATCACCCGCTGGTTTAATACTGCCACCGAAATATCCTCACCCGCTGGCTTACAACTGCCACCTAAATATCATCACCCGCTGGCTTAAAACTGCCACTGAAATATCCTCACCCGCTGGCTTAAAACTGCCAACGAACTATCCTCACCCGCTGGCTTAAAACTGCCACCGAAATATCATCACCCGCGGAAATAAAACTGCCACCGAAATATCCTCACTCACCCGCTGGCTTGGAACTGCCACCGAAATATCATCACCCGCTGGCTTGGAACTGCCAACGGAAGATCCTCTCCCGCGGAAATAAAACTGCCACCGAAAAAGCCTCACCCGTGGAAATAAAACTGCCACCGAAATATCCTCACCCGCGGAAATAAAACTGCCATCGAAATATCCTCACTCACCCGCTGGCCTAAAACTGCCACCGAAATACCCCCACCCGCTGGCTTAAAACTGCCACCGAAATATCCTCACCCGCTGGCTTACTGCCACCGAAATATCCTCACTAACGGAAATAAAACTGCCATCTAACGGCCAAGTGGTTCAGTTCAGTCTGTCTGTCTACCTCGCGAGAATCAAATTACGGGCTGCGCCCGTAAATTATTGTATGTTCCTGCGTCCTGTAATGTTTACATCAATACATATCCCCCCGACCATTCTTGGATCCGCGCCACTTGCGTAGACCAAGATGGCCTTCCTCTTCCGGGGCCTGAAACGTACAACAACTTTTGGAACATCGAAAGCATAGAGGGCCTCAAGACGGCCCCAGATGGCCTCCAGACGGCCCAAGGAGGCTCAAGAGGCCCCCAAGACGGCCCCGAGAGGATCCCCAACAGAACCTGCAGAGCAAGACACATTGATTTCCTACCACCCACCACTGAGCCATGCATCTGGCAGGACTTGTGGGCGGAAGAATGCACGAATGGCAACTCCTCGGATAAATCATAACACATGCGAGAATGCGGCACGCCAATAAAAAAGGTAAATGTGTGGCGGGGCCTCGGCTGAGAATCGGGGTTGCGACAACTCGGCCGCATTTCCCAAGGACGCGCCGTTACGACAGGGTCTGCTCGTAGAAAACACGGTTGCGCCACTTCGGCTGCATTTCCACAAGGCGGGGCGGTTACGACAGAATGCGCCTATTCTGCTGAAAGCGAGGCAGGCAAATAAGCACAACAATGTCTGAGAGGCGCGAAAAGAGGACGAGGCACGGCGAGAGGGAGGAAGGGGAACAGGGGCAGGAGGAGGAGAGAGGGGGGGGATACTGCTCAAGGCTACAACATCTCATACACAGAGGTGGCCCATCGCTGCCGCGGTCGCCCGCGCTCCCTCCGGGAAACCCATTGTCTGGCTTTCCCATGCTAGTTTTTTGCGTTCTCGCCTTCTCGGGTTTCGGACACCCCATGGCAGCCTCAGAGGCCCTGAGGCGTCCAAGATGGCCGCAAGGCAGCCCTGAAGCCCCCAAGAGGCCCGCATGACGGCCCAAGAAGGCCCCAAGGTGGCCCAGGAGGCCGCAACACGGGCCAAGCGGGCCCGAAGAGAGGCCTACCCAAACGGCCTACGAAGGCGCCAGACGGCCCAAGAGCGCCCGAAGACTGCCCAAGATGCTCCCAAGACGCCTCAAGAGGCCTCCAACAAGCCCGCCGCAGCCCCAAGGTGTCCCCAAGAGGCCCCCCAGGTTACAGGGGCCTCTAAAAGGCTCCCAGGAGAGCCCAAGCGCACATGCTCTGCACACTCTGGACGTGCACCCCGCGTCTGGAAGGCACGCGTTGCCAGAGGCAGGTCGCAGAGGCCCTGACGCAAACCATTGTGTGTCCAATCATACATCAGCGTGCACTTCGCACTCGGCTGTATCATCATATATCTTGTGACGCTATATAGCCGCGGGAGCAATTATCCCCCCCCCCCGCGTTATTGGTAGCACTCATTGTAATATACTAGTCCGCGGGGGGAGACCCGCCAAGCGACATAAGGCGAATTAATCAATATAATAATTCCGCGGGGGGGGGGGGGGCGGTGCGAGTAAGAGGAGTAAGACAGCCCAAGAGAGGCCTCAGGACAGTCTCTTCGGAGGCAAGGGAACCCTCTTGGGCTCTCATGAAGATCCGATTGGGGTCTTGTTGGGATCCTGTTCGGATCTGGAGGGAGGTCGATAATTGCTTCCCAAGGATCGCCCCCCTCCCCCCCCACTGGAGCCACGCCCCACCCAGGGTGCCAAGTGTGCCAGACCCTTCTAGGGTTCAAAAGCTTCCGCATACCAAAAGGACACTAATGAGTTTAGCTGCTTTTGGCTTCTCGAGGGCCGAGGAGGGTGTCGAGACGGCTCTGGAGGGTTTAGTATGGGCCACGAGAAGCCGCCAAGTCGGCCCAAGAGGCCCTCAAGACGGCCCAAGGGGGCTCCAAGAGGACCCCCCAAAAGGCCCCCAGAAGCAAACCATGTTGTTTCTGTTTAGATTGCTGGTCAGATTTTAGCGTTCTCGCCTTCTCGGGATTCCGACGCTCCACGGCGGTCCGGGATGCCTCCAAGACGGCCCCAGGACAGCCCAAGAAGTTCCCAAGAGGGCCAAGGACGGCCCAAGAGGCCCCCAAGGAGGTCGAAGAGGCCCCCAAGACACCACAAGACGGCCCTTTGAGGTCCCAGCGGGGCACTACGACGGTCCAGAAAGCGCCCAAGCGTACATGTGATGGTCGGCAGCCCACGCTTGGATGCTTCCGAAGGCTCCAGACGGCCCAAGAGCGCCCGAAGACAGCCCAGCAGGTCGCCAAGCAGCCTCAAGATGTCCCCAAGAGATTCAACAAGACTCCCTGGGGAGCCCAAACGCACAGTTACACTCGACACATTCTGGACGTGCACCCCGCGAAGCGAGATGAATCCACATCTGGAAGGTGACGTGGTGAAAGGCAGAATTTTCCGCGACAGTCTGAATACAACATACCCTGTGTGTCTACGCATACGTAGACTTTCTCATCACATTATGTTGTGCTGTTTTGTATTATTTGGTGATTCGCCCTAACTCCCCACAGGAGTCAGGCCTGATCCGTAGACCAAAGGTGGCGGACACATTCTGGGCCTCCCGAACATTCAACCCGAGCAATAATCAATGACATTGGCTGCTTGGGTTTCTCGAAAGTCGAAGAGAGCCTCGACACGGCTCTGGAGGGTATCAGATAATGACCCAAAACGCCTCCGAAGACGGCCCAGGATGCCCACCAGAACCCCGGCACGCCCCCAGCAGGCCCAAGAGGCCCCCAGGAAGCCACCAGCGGCATCCAAAAGGCTTCCAGGAGGGCCCAAACGCACACACTCTGCGCACT